TTTAATATTTTTAGTTACATTTGTTCTGAAAGATAATAAATAGGTGAATATAAGCAGGAACATTCACATCTTCCTGCTGCTTAAAACTGCACCAAGTGACGTGGGAAATTTACTTTGTAGCTGTGACTGTAGGTCTGAGTAGTGGTGGAAGTTGGAATTCAAATTTAGTGTTTTTTTTTTTATTTTTAATGAAGCAGAGGCACAATGGAAAAGAATTACCATTTTTACTTAAATGTGTCAAGATAAAACTTGTCTTTCCATCTTCTTCAAATTAGTCATACTACCCAGGAAGCTTCATAGGAAGTCTGAGTCACGAGCGCAATAACTCACTGAGGAGTCAGAACTTAGTCACCATAAGGAGCGCTGAAAGTGGTGATAGGTGGTACGGTGACATCATGTTTACTACCGCGGGGATCCGAAAACGGCATAGCCACAGAAACTTTTCTATCAAGCGGTGGGAGAAAGTGAACGCGAAGCAGAGGCTGTTATTCAAATCCGCAAATGTTTTCTACCTCCCATGGGGCTTCCCCTTCGATACGCCTGTTAATCTAACCCATCGTTATAGAGTAGCATAGTGGTACAGTAAAGCGATAAGCACAGAGGCAGGAGTGATCCAGTTTTTCCAGCCAGGCAGCCGGTAACAAGAGGACAGCCTGCTTTATTGGACTGGACAGGCTCTGGCATCCTGGGGGTGGCTGCTCAGCCCTGGCCTTTCACAGAGCTGCCCTTTTCATCCGCACGCGTTAAACGCTCTGCCGGAGCGGGGGAAAGAAGGGAGGGAGGACGTCGGAGAAAACGAAGGACAGAAAGGAGGAGAGAGAGATGGGGTAGTAGTGAGGAGGGGCGAGCCTGCAGCTGTGTGAAAAGTGCACGCTGCTCTTTCAAGATAAGCCATTTTTTTTCTCTCCCTCTTTCTCTGTGCTGTTCCATAGATGCTCACCCTTGCCCCAAGCTCTTGTTCTGTTCATGTGAGCTGGAACTGAACGGTACAGATTAATCGGCTAGACCTGAACCGGAACCAACATTTATTTACCAGTTTTCACTCATAGATACAACACAACTCCCCTTCAAAGAAACGAGTCCTTTTCTTCTTCTTTTTTAAACCAGCCCCACCTCCTCTCTTTTTCCAGCCTGTATGGTAGTATGAACCTCGCCTGTTTCCTAGAAAGCGATGCTGGTTTGTACTGAAGCATGCTGCGTTGGGTTTACAGTACCACGATTTGCAACTGAATCGGTTGAATCTAGCCATTCATAGACATCTCAGTACAAAAGTGAAGCCCTGTGTTGGATTGTTATTTTCGACATGCAGTTAACTTAATTCTGATTTAATCATCTTTAATGATTAAGATGCGCAAAAGGACAAATTTACTCGAGGTGTAGCTAACCCAGTAGAGTGACATCTAAAAATCGATACGGCACAGAAAAGGCAGAGATGATGAGTAAGACCGCTCTACTGTTTAGCCCCCAGGCGTTTAGCAGTTACCTGGACGACATCATCAGCTACCGCTGGGAGCTGGAAGAGGGGAAACCCAACCCACTTCGAGAGGGGCCCTTTGAGAGTTTACCCCCTCGCACTCAGGTGGAGCTGCTGCACCGGCTGTGTGATTACCGTCTGGATGCTGCTGATGTCTTTGACCTGCTTAAGGTGACTAAAAGAATACATGTGATCATAATAATGTATTCACAATTTATTAAAGAGTCAGTATTGAGTCAGTAATTGTACATAAAAGGTTCCACGCTCCATTAATGCTGCCAAGTTGTGTATATGTGTGCTGTTAAAGTTTGCTTTTTTGACAACATGATGAATGATTTTGTATCTGATTGTCAGATATATTTGTCACTGAGCAGCTGCCTCATTTTACTTTGGCCTAAGAGTGCAAGATCTTAGTTTTACTATTCTTTAAAAGTATATTTACTGCCATAAACTAAGGTGGAGTTATCGTAATCTGAGGCTTTATCCCTATACTGTCAATCGGTTTCTAATTTTTAAACTGTAAACTGCTGTAATTCGTGAACACTCTTAACAAGATACCGAAAGTACTTATTGTCAGCACACGATTCACGACTCTGTACGATCAAAGAGCTAAAATGACATCACCCTCTGATGACACACTGCATATTATTTAAGAAATGTTATATCCCCACCCCCACCACCTCCAGGGCCTGGATGCAGACAGCCTGAGGGTGGAACCCCTGGGGCAGGATGGAAATGGAGCCCTCTACTGGTACTTTTACGGCACTCGCATGTACAAAGAAGAGCCAGTGACAAAGAAAGTAGGAAAACACAGGTAATGCTTCTTTTTCTGTCAACCACGGATGAATCATCTGCACTTAGCTG